TCCATTGTGTAAATGTACCACATTTTCTCCATCCATTCCTCAGTAGAGGAGCATCTAGTTTGCTTCCAGTTTCTGGCTACTGCCAATAATGCTACTATGAACATGGTTGAGCAGATGTCCTTGTTGTATGAAATGTGCATCTTTTGGGTATATGCCTAAGAGTGGAATTGCTGGATCTTGTGGTAGATTGATTCCCATTTTCCTGAGGAACTGCCATACTGATTTCCAAAGTGGCTGTACCAGTTGGCACTCTCCACATCCTCTCCAGCATAAACTGTTTTAAAGAGAATTCTGGCACTAGGGAAATGTCCAGAGATCTACAAGTTTGACCCCAACTAACAATCTAAGCAATAGTCGAGAGGCTACCTTAAAAGCCCTTCTCTGATAATGAGATTGATGACTACCTTATATGCCATCCTAGTGCCTTATCCAGCAGCTGATGGAAGCAGAAGCAGACACAGAAACTCACAGCTAAACACGGAACTGAACTCTGGAATCCAGCTGCAGAGAGGGAGGAGTGATGAGCAAAGTGGTCAAGACCAGGCTGGAGAAACCCACAGAAACAGCTGACCTGAAAAAGGGGTTACTCATGGACACCAGACTGATAGCTGGGAAACCAGCATAGGACTGTTCCAGACCCCTGAAGGAGGAAGTCAGTTTGGAGGTCTGGACAATATATGGGGCCACTGATAGTGGATCAGTATTTTCCCCTAGTACACAACACAAATGAACTTTGGGAGCCCTCTCCTCACAGAGGGATACTCTCTCAGCCTAGACACACTGGGGAAGGTCTAGGCCCTGCTCCAAACGATATGACAGATTTTGAAGATCCCCTAAGGCCTCACCCTTTCTGGGGAGCAGAAAGGGGTTGGGATGGGGGGTCAGTGGGGATCTGGGGAGAAGGGGAGGGAGAGAGAACTGAGATTGACATGTAAATGAAGCTTGTTTCTAATTTAAATAAAAAAAAACAGAAAAAAAATAAAGGGTGATGGTATGGTTAACTTGCAGACACTGCCAAAGAATTGGTAGAATGACTATCTTTTCTTCTATTTCCAGTGGTAATGCCTGAGCCTTCCGGCTGGCTGATCTGCACACGGACATGTAGGATGCAGTCTCTTGTGTTCCAGGGCATGTGGAGAGCCTCAGGGGCGTAACTTTGCATCTATGAGACAGACAACTGTACTGCTGAGCAGCCTGACAGACACACTGGTCATTCTGTACACTCCGAGAGTGCCTCACTTTGGGTTTTCTTGGCTCAACTTTTAACTGGGTTGTCTTATTACCAGAGTTCTTTATAAACTAGGCATCTATGTGTAGGGAGAATGCTTCCTCCAACTCTGTTAGGCTATGTTTCCATGCCCCCCACCATCTTTAAAGAGCAAAAATCTATTCTTGAGAAATTTAATTTATAAATCTTTTCTTCTAATATTAATACCCATTGTATCTATCCTGTATTAGAAAGCTTACCTCAAATCATACGTTCTCAAAGATATTTCTTGATCCTTCTTCATGTGTTAGTTTTAGCTCTTATGTTTAGGGGTATGATTCATTTTGTATTAATTTTTCTATGATAGCAGGTAGGAACTGATACATTTTTACATATAATATACTAAGTAAAACATATTTATTTGAGGATTTTCCTTTTCCTGAATGAACTATTATGACACTTTCATTGAAAATTACTTGCCAGGGCTGGGGAGATGGCTCAGCAGTTAAGAGAACTTGCTGCTCTTTCGGAGGACTGGAGTTCAGTTTGCAGTGACCAGAGCAGGAAGTGCACAACCACTGATAACTCAAGTTCCAGGGAAACTGACATCTGCTGGCACCTGCACTCCCAGGCACACACTCTCCTCCTCCCACATCGTACACCCATCATTTAGGTATAGAGATAACTTAGTGTTTCAAATGGGTGATAATGATTATAAAGAAATTCAGACCAGAGCTGGTTGTGTTGACACACACCTTTAATCCTGGCACTTGGGAGGCAGAGGCAGGCAGATCTCCATGAGTTTGAGGCCAGCCAAGGCTACATGAGTGAGACCCTGTCTCAAATAAGAGAAGGAAATTCAATTGCCCATAAATGGTTGCACCTTTTTCTCAACTGTTAATTCTGTTCCATTTAATCATACATCTACCCTTGAATCAATATCACATTGTCTTTATTGTTGTAGCTTTATAATAAATCAGAGTCAGGTTGTATGATTTCTACAATTTACTCATCTTTAGCTTAAAACTCCCTTCCTCCCTTTGTATGTGTGTGCATGTGTGTAGTTACGCACACACGTGTTTGTATGGAGGCAGAGCTGGACTGTGGATTTTTTTCTCAATCATTCTCCACTTTGTTTATGTATTTTTTTTGAGATAAAAATCTCACTAATATAACCCTGGCTGGCCTGGAACTCACAGAGATCTATTTGAATCTGCCTCCCAAGTGTTGAATTTAAAGACCCATGTCATGTAATCCAGCTCTATATTAAATAGTCATTCATTTATCCATTTATTCATTTTTCAGAAACATTTACTAAGTATTTACCATACCACCCACTAAGCTGGCTAGGCATAAGGACACAAAAGTAAAGTCAGTTCCAGTCTTCAATGAGTTTATAATCTATAATGTAGTAGAAAATCTAGCCTGATTACAGGCCACAAAAGCTCAAGAAATATGGGAGGACGTGAGTTTTGCAGAGAAGAACTTCACTAAGTCTTATAAATGAGATTCCATAAGAGACACAGTGTACCACTCTGGAATTCAGCTTTCTTGTCAGAAAAAAAGTACATGCCTCACAGACTGCCATCATGCCTAGAAAACCAAAAAATGCATGTAAGAATGTGGTGGTCTGGGGACAGGTCGGCAGCAGAGCATGTGTTGGCATGAATTGAGCCCTGGGTTCATTGCCCAGCAATACCCACTGCTCTGTGGATACTCAGTAAGTGGCAGTGGTCATTATGATTAGCAGCCAGCTGTCACCTTAAGGGTCTCACCCACAGACTGCACTTAGATTGAAGCGGTAACTTCTTATCACTCTAAGGGAAACCACAGAAGCTGAGCCATAAGAACCTGGTCATTTGAGTGAGTTTAGCATGAAACCAGGCACAAGGGTGTTTGCAGCTCCAGAGGGACCTGAGATAATACGGAAGCATGTTCAATCAGGAACTACCACACAGACCTATACCTAGAACAGCTGCAATGATTAAAATCCTTCATCAATGGAATAAAAAAATTCTCATGAATAATTGGCTAAGGTTCCTCCAACCCCCCATTTTTAAAAACTCCTAAACAAAAAAAAACAAAAAACAGATATGTGAAGCAAACACTGGGAGAGAGGAATGCAGGAGGCAACACTTGATGAGGACTCCTGACTACCGCGTGCTTTAAATATCTCCATTTCAGGGCATCCCGCTCCAGTGTAAACACAGGAGGAAATGGTCTTCTTAGATAGAGTCTGGGGAAGACAAAAACAGAAGTTGTCCCAGCTCTTGGTATTTAAAACTTACTGTTTTTGTGTTCCTTTTTTTCTTTCTTCCCCCCCCCCCCCCTTTTTTTTTTTTTTTAAGTCTCAGCAGTTTGGAGCTGAAGGGGGAAGGCTGGAGGAGAGCCGTGATGCATATTCATTAACTTGCTGATAGAGACTGGTGACCCTTTGAGGAGGAGAAAGTGTTCTACTAGAGGACTGCCAACTAGTAACAGGCAAGATCTGAGAGTGAGACTGAACTCAGTCTTGCAAGCACACACCCACAGCTCCAGCACACAGCCAATGCCCAGGAACCTGGAGCCTGCCCGGTTCCAGGTGTCCTCTTGACTTTCTGTCCTGAGCCATGTCACCTACAGCCACACCCACCCAAGTGAGAGGTCCTCAGCAGTGGAGACCATGCCATCTGGGGACCTGAACTTCCCTGACCTAAGTATCTATGATTTGAGAAGCACCTCTGCAGCTGGCTTGGGGGACTGACTTTCTGATGTGCTAGGGGAGGCTCTGAGTTCCTGTGGTCACTCAGATCCTAGTGTGCTTCTTGTGGAAGAGAAAAGGAGTTAGTGCGCTTCATTCTCCGAGGGTGGTGTGCAAAGGGCAATGGGTTGGACACATAAGCCTTCCAGGTTGGCTAGAATATCCAGTGAGCCAGTTCTGGACTGGTGACTGACTAACAGACAAATGACAAGTAAAACAGTACTTTGGAAAACCCACAGACTCTGAGATTAAAGCAGTCTTCAGCAATGTGTCCTCTTTAAAGTGGCTTTAGTACCTAGCTGCTGGACTCTGCTGCTCTGGAGCAGTCTTGGCCTCTGAGGGGCCTTCTCTCACTGACCTTTCCCTTCTGTTTCACACAAACCTCGATCATTTACCCCTGCAGCTATTTCAGTGTCCAAAGGGAAACATGGCCTAGCCATGTGCCAACTTTAAATATACTTCTCTATGCTTTCCTTCCCAGTCAGGTGTGTTTTATAATAACAAACAGTAACAAAGGCTTTTTTTAATGACTTAAGATATTCAGTGGCTTTTGTCTTGCAAGCGTCAGCAGTAACGTCAGAGGATTGTATCCAAGGAGCTAAATGTGCAGGACCCAGGGTCAGAGCAGCTGAATACACCAACCTCAGAAAACACAGACAATGAATTGCAAATGACACTCACAACAAAACGAGGAAAAAAACCTTCACACAGAAGACTACAAAAGAACTCTACAGACACTGAATTGGCTTTCTGTGCACACTGATCCTGCTTAACTGTGTGTGGTAACTAACCCAACGTTTTAGACATGTGGGACCACAAAATAAAGGCTGGTTTTTGTTTGTTGGTTTTGTTTTTGGTGGGGAGGGTTGTGATAAAAATAATTTTTCCCTCCTTTAAGTCTATTTTTTATTTTTAAAACAGTTTCACTAACTGGAGCTGGCCAGTGCTTCTGTTAGTACTGTCAAACAAAACAAGTCGAATTAGCGATGCAGTGATTAGTCTTGTGTTAATTCTGCTCAAGGTTCTCCACAAAAGCTGTATTGTTTCAGCAGGGATCCACATCATGAAACAAAATGGTATGGTAAACCCAAAAGAAGTGATAGTTCTTTCATGGCACACTGTAGACACCAACTTGTTAGCAAGGCAGGAGCACAGGCAGGACACCAGACTACACGGCTGAGGATAAAGGGGAAGCGAAATTGATGAGCTGCTGTCCAGATTTTCCCACTGGAAATTATTCCCAACTGCCCAGGCATTACACCACTCAGGTAAACGGTGACAGGACAATATGCTTTTCATCTCTCCACAGCCAGGCAAAGGGCCTATGAAACTCAGGAAGGTGTATCTACACTTCCAGTCTGTGGTAAGGAAGCAGGATTTCTTAATGGCCAGCTGCAGCTGGAAGAGGGACAGAGCCCGAACATGGCAATGTAGAACCCTCCCCTCGACTGTTCAGTGTTTGAAAATGAAGGCCCTGTAGCCCTGGAGATTAGAAATGACATGTTGAAGGGGAATGGAAATTCATTAAGAGGACTAGGATTTGAAAAACATTCTCAACAAGTCTGTAAGTAAAATCTGTCTATGGGGTGGACTTCTTAGACTGCTCCTGGATCATACTTATCCTCCATGTGGCATATATTTTCTACATCATCTGACTTCTCCCCATAAAGACACCCCAAGCCACAAAGCTCCCACGAAATGCTTGCTTATGCTATCTCTTTGACAGATGCTTCCCTTCTGGGGTTCAGTGCAGTTCCAGCTTCTCTCCCTGGGTACGGGTCTAATCTGCTGGCCACTAACTACACTGAGTCTCCTCAAGCAGAGAGCTGGCTGCTGGCTGCTTTCAGGGTCCTTCTCCCCACATCTGACTGCCAGTCTTGCTCAGTGAAGGCTTTTGGATGTATAGATAGGTAGATAAATTAATAAAAGATAGGAGAAAGGGAAGGAAAATCAGAAGGGGAAAGAAATGGACTTGGAAACTGGCGTGCAAGTTTTAGGAGACACAACTGCACTCACCAGACTAGGACAGGTTCAATGACTATCATGCAAACAACCCAGATACCTGGATTACTCGGTAAACCTCCCCTGACATTCAATCCTCTCCCTGCCCATCACTTTCTGTTGTTCTGCTCTTTCACAATCTTTTCTAGTTAACTTACACTTTTCAGGGTTTTGGTGTTCATATTCATTCTTACAATTATGGGGAATTTATTCTTTGCTACTTTGTTAGATAAGCAAACAAGCTGAAATCTGCATGTTTGTTTTAGCAAAAGACAGGGCAGGGCTCCTGCAAGCACCAGAGAGTTCTACGGGCCCTTTGAGCTTGGCAACCTCAGGTACCACTAACATCTGATTTGCCCAAACACACACTAGTGAGAACAAAGATGAAAGTCTTTCTCCATGTCATGTAGGAGCAGTTTAACAAGGCAATCTTACCCATGGCTTGCTTGCCCATAGCACACTGGTAGGTGTTCCTTGGAGACTGGTTGTGATGAGGGTATGGGATGAGGCCAGCACAAACACCAAGAAGAGTGAAGGGTTCAATCTCCAAGTGGGTGGTATCTCTAACAAGTTAATGAAGAGTTAGGCAGTTTAGGCATCAAGTACTAAAATCAGTGTCTGTTTAAGGATATAAAAATTACCAGTTCCTAGGTCCCCAAGGGACTTATAAGACAATAAACTTTGATGCTAGTGAAACTGGTAAAATAAAAACAATAAAAACATGGTGAAGTAAATCATGATGCAACCTGAGAATTTGAACTCTTTTATGATTAAAAAGTCTGATCAGTGATGGAAGTAAAAGAGAAGGGACACAGAGTAACCAAGTTTATGCAAAAATAAAGCAATATCATCATACACACTACCAATGGTGCATTGCAGAAAGAAATTTCTATATCAAACTCAGAAGTGGTATGGTGCAGTAACTTGCATATGGCCAGCAGCTTGCTTTCTCTCGTATCAATAAGAAGCCTACATCACTGTGTGGGAGAAAAAATTGATCTCTTTGAAAACGAGTCACTATAAAACCTATGCAGACCAGTGCTGGTCTTAGCTGACGGTGGCTACTGAACAGGTGAAACATTAGGCTACTGAAAAACTAAAGTTTACATTTTACCCCATTTTTTTGTTGTTGTTATTGCCTTTTTTTGTTTGTTTTGTTTTTTGTTTTTTGAGACAGGGTTTCTCTGTAGCGTTGGAGGCTGTCCTGGAACTAGCTCTTGTAGATGAGGCTGGTCTCCAACTCACAGAGATCTGCCTGCCTCTGCCTCCTGAGTGCTGGGATTAAAGGCATGCACCACTACTGCCAAGCTGATTTTACCCAATTTTAATGGATTTAAAATTTAAAACTCCTGTTTAAATTGAAATAACTCAGCTTCTTATTTAAACTGTCATTATATTTCAAACAATTTACATTTGTGAATCTACTGATTCAACTGCAAAAAGTCTGATTTAGTACTGCTAATGAAATTCAGCTGTAAGTATATGTAAGATTTTAAAGACATAATGGGAAAATATAAACTATCTCATTAAAATATTCATCACACAATGACACAATATTTTGAACACAATGGGATAATAAAAATATTAAAATTAAGGACTGGGGATACAGTTAGGTAGTAAAGACACAGTTTAGCACCTGTGAAGCCCTACACTCAATCCTCAGTATCCCCTCCCAAAGTAATTATTAATCTCTCACTATTTTCCTTTTCATATGGCTACTGTAAACCCATATGCATTGGTGCCTCACATTATATTCTTACGGGACAGGTTTGTTACAGATATCTATCTAATAGGTGTGAGAATCTGGGTTATTTCATAATACATTTTTGAAGAAAATTCAGTTTGGGGCTAAGTAATAAAGTAACTAAGATGTTTTCATGAGAAGGAGTAGCCACATTATGTAAGGGTTTTTACTCAAAGTAACATATATCATATTCAGGACACATGCTACACAGTGATCCTGTTTTCCTCATCCTAGGGTCCAGGCAATAGAGCCTTAGCCATTTCAAAGGTTCACAGCACATGAAGGGAGAGGAGATTTCTAAGAAACCAGGTCCTCACTCACTGTGGAAAGTTAGCTGTAATGCACCTGGTAAAAGACCTCCTGCTTCCTCATCAATTTTTCTCTAACACGTACTAAGTTATGTCCCTACACTGGAGGGAGAATTGCTTTCCATGTCTCTCTAAGTTGGAAGAACAGCATTTCCTTAGGACCTAGCAGAACCTTAAATGTGATCAGAACCTTTGCCAGGAGGGTGGGAAGTGTGTAGGGGTTTTCTGTTTTAAGAAGCATAGCTTAAAGCTGAATTTTCTACACTAGAATAAAACAGAGTTTCATTATGGGGATGTGGCTTAATGGCAGAGAGCTTGACTAGCACATATGAGGTCAATCCCTGGAAATTACTTGTTTGCGATAGAAGATATAAACAGTTAACAAGTATGAAAATTAAACTGCCTTTTAAAAATGTAACTTCAAAAATCCCAGGTTCAGGCAAGTGGTACATTAATGGCATTCATCACAAAGCAAGTTGTACAGATGTCCTCTAATGTCTTCCAAACAGAACACAGATGCTTCTAAAACACCAGTGTGGTAGGAGAAATATTATGAACACATTGACATCTCAAATTTACACTGCACATATGCTCAGCAATATTTTTACAACATACTTTGTATGGAATTCCTATTCTACCAAGAAGATTCCAGATATCCACTAACAAAACCCTACCTAGGAGAGACCTCAGTGTTTACAGTAGTTGGATATTGAAATCAGAGACAATTCCTTTTAAAAGTACACACTGAGCATCACATGGCAGGAAGAACAATTAAATATAAAGATTACTTGTGACTGACTGCGGCATTGCACTGGGACAAACAACAGTTACTTTATTATAAAACACTCCCAGAGGACCTAATAGGACATTGAAAATAGTACTTTTTTTTTTTAATAACAAATGGACTTTAATTTTGGTTGTTACCAATATTACTTACTTATTAATCGTATGTTCATAGAGTGCAATGTTGCAATCATTTTCTTCATTCACATCTAAGTATTCAACTAGACTCTCATGTAAGAAATCTTCAAAGTTCCTGGGAAAATTTGTTAAAAGAGACACTAAAGCACTTTGCTGCAGTACTGTATAAGACAACAAAAAGACCCTGGTTTTCATTTATCCCATAATTCCTTTCTCTCCTAGAGAATATCTATACATTGAGATATCTGAAACCCATTGTTGAGGGGTCACAAGTTACAAAAATAAAAGCACTAAAGATAATTGTCGTCACTCCTAAAATACTGACTTTAGAAACTTCAGTATGAAGAATGCAGTGTCTCCATCAGCAACAAGGCTTGAAGGCTTTAGAGGCTGTGGTATGAGGGATACAGTGCTTTAGAGACTGTGGAATGAGGGATATAGTGTCTCCATCAGCAACAAGGCTATGAGGGCTTTAGAGGCTGTGGTATGAGGGATACAGTGCTTTAGAGACTGTGGAATGAGGGATGCAGTATCTCCATCAGCAACAAGGCCTGAGGGCTTAGAGACTGTGGGATGAGGGATGCAATGGCTCCATCAGCAACAAGGCCTGAGGGCTTAGAGACTGTGGGATGAGGGATGCAATGGCTCCATCAGCAACAAGGCCTGAGGGCTTAGAGACTGTGGGATGAGGGATGCAATGGCTCCATCAGCAACAAGGCCTGAGGGCTTAGAGACTGTGGGATGAGGGATGCAATGGCTCCATCAGCAACAAGGCCTGAGGGCTTAGAGACTGTGGGATGAGGGATGCAATGGCTCCATCAGCAACAAGGCCTGAGGGCTTAGAGACTGTGGGATGAGGGATGCAATGGCTCCATCAGCAACAAGGCCTGAGGGCTTAGAGACTGTGGGATGAGGGATGCAATGGCTCCATCAGCAACAAGGCCTGAGGGCTTAGAGACTGTGGGATGAGGGATGCAATGGCTCCATCAGCAACAAGGCCTGAGGGCTTAGAGACTGTGGGATGAGGGATGCAATGGCTCCATCAGCAACAAGGCCTGAGGGCTTAGAGACTGTGGGATGAGGGATGCAATGGCTCCATCAGCAACAAGGCCTGAGGGCTTTAGAGGCTGCCCCAGGAGGGATGCAGTGTCTCCCTTAGCAACAAGGCTCTGAGCACTTGAGAGACTGTGGTATGAGGGATGCAGTGTCTCCATCAGCAACAAGGCTATGAGGGCTTTTCTTTGTGGAAGCGATCAATGGAGAGTAATTTATAATTTATGGCAAGGCTCTACAATCCTCATGAACTATTTGTCAAGCACTTCATCATATGCAGGCTACTGCATATAAAATGGTTTTAACTGGTTGCTGGTACATTTGGCGGGGAGGGCTTAATAGACTAGAGATGAAAATATACCATCCTTACAGTATATATTGAAGAATGTTACTGCTGATGAAAGCATCTAGCCCATATTTAAAGAGATTGATAATGTCTACTTTTGGTCACTTACCTGTAGCCTTGAGCCAACTCTTCCATGTGCTTAACTGTCACTGCTGGCTTTTGCTTCTTGACAATTATGTAAGGCCTAGAAAGGGAGAAAGATAGCTTACTAGAAGGATGGTGTAAGTCAGCTCTACTGACCACTGTGGAATGAGAGAGGGTAGATGAAGCTTGTTCTGGAACTGCTGTATGAACATGTAGAGTCTTTCTCTCTCCACCTCCTTATATTTATGTGAGTGTGTATTCACTACTCAGTTTCCCTCCGATTATCCTAAGAATCATTTGGATTTAAATGAAAAGGCAACATAAAAATCACAATGAAGTCTAGACAGGGCACAAAATCTTCATGCCACATTTTAAACTGTGTAAACCACTACAGAAGTGCCTCATTTCCTGCTGGGAATACTTGCTGTATAGCAATCTCCCTTTACCATGCTTCAGGATTTTCACGATTTTGGTGATTTTAGTGAGTTGGAGTCAACTGTGGTCTAGAAACTTTTAAATCATGTATAGCCTTCTGGGCAGTGTGGTGAAATCCTGTACAACCCTGTACCACTCTAGCTGGGAAGGGAACCAACCTTTTCTCTAGTGACCGCATGCTACACAGCTATGTAGTAGCATACAGTCTCAGCTATATGACTGAAAGGATAGTATTGATGGTTTTAGGCATCCACTGGGGAGTCCTGGGGCATGTCCCCCACATGGGAGAACTGATGTATGGTGTCAGCGGGTAGAGACTTGTCACTGAGGACAATAATGGCATTTATTTTGAGAGTTCAGAGGAGGCCCAGATGTTTGATGTGGTTTGATGCATGACAAACATCACTGAAATAGACTAACAAGTGACTTAAAGCTCTGCTTGGCTGGATGTTTATGCAGAAGAGAACACAGCTTCTTTACTGGTGACTTATAATGACTGCTGGGGGTGAGATGGAGAGAGCACTCTGTCAGATTAACCTGTAACTTTCAGTGTGACTTGCCTCTGAGGGTTCTGCCACTACAAGGAAATACCCACAAAAAGAAGGGCATGCGGCATGGAAACGTCAAGTGCTGCTGCTATTTGGACAAGCAGCTCTTACAGAGGGGGAACAAGAAGCCAGCAGACACTTGTGTGTTTGTTGGAAGCCCAAATGACTTCTTGACGACTAATGAGCACTGTGAAATGGGCAAGAGGAGGAGCTGATCACTCTGATCACTCAAAAAAGGAGGAAGGAGCTGGGCAAGCTCTTCAAGGAAGTCAGCAGTACCTCAAATCCTGGCGTTTTGGTGAGGATGCAGAGAACCACTCCCACCCACTGTAGGAGCTCCGCCCACTCTTGCCCACTCAGTACCTCTGCCCACTCCTGCCCCACTCCAGTAGCTCAGGTCAAGGCTCACAGGACTGAGCAGAAACCAGAAAAGAAGGGAGAAGCCCCTTTCCTCAATAAATTCTCCTATTCCAGCCAGAGCTGTGCTGGAATTATAAAATTACTTCTGAAAAACAGTTAACTTCCTTTTAGAACATGTTTTATATGGATACAGTGAAATAACAAAATTACAAACAGGAATAGCTTAGAACATGCCATTGCTTCTCCTGCCCCTCAGAAGGCCATGTTGTCTAATACCAACTTTCTTCCTCTTTTTAAAGCAAGATCTCACCACAGACATCAGGCTGGACCTCACAGAGATCCACCACCAGTCTCTGCTTCCTATATACTAGGATTAAGGCCACTGAGCCACCACACTTGGCCTAGGCCATTTGGGAACAACTCTGGATACTCTGTAAGTACTTCCCACAGCTTACTAGCTAGTTCTTAGCACAGGCATAGGTAGGCATCACCACTTACATTTCACAGACAAGGAAACCAAGCCTCAGAAAGTTAGAAATACTAGAATCACAGTCACTAAGTGGCCAATTAGGACTCCAGTGTGGGTATATTGTTTTCAACAACACCATAAGACAAACCAACTTTGAACAGGGTAAGCAAAAATTACTTTACTACAAGCATTATGAAGTTCCAGAAGGAATAGGAATGGAGGAAAGGGGAGAGACACTGAGAAATATCAGGAACTGGGACAGTTATGACAATCCAGGCGTGCCGAGTAAGTTTGGGTGGGGTGGGGCAGATACTAGTTGGATTTCTGTCTGCTTGAAAGACTACCTGTGTGTGATAGTATCTACACACTTTCTGGAAGAACAAAAGGAGCCTACTTTTCTAGTTACCTTCTTCATCTGTGTCTTCACACTTTCATTTCCTTAGCATTTCTCCTTTTACTATCTGATCAAGCAAAATAATTCTACCAACACTTTAAGGCTGGGTAGACTACAGAGGTAAAAAATCATGATGATTGTTGGGCTCATGTGACTTCTAAGGACTACCAAGAAAAAACCCAATTCTACTCTAGTCTAGCTCTGGGTATGTGGCTCACCTTCACAGACCCCCAAGTTTCTCATATAGTAAGAGTCTTACACAGATAGCATACCCAATAAGACAACAAACAATAACTAGCATCCAATCCTAGCACAACTGGTTGCTATTAGTAACTATTTGTGTTTCTCCTGGCAGATGAAACTCTCTGAGGACAAAAACTATCCTCCATTAGTTTTCAAATTATCTCCAAAGTGTCTAATAACTGAATTAGATGCATCTCCATGACAAGAAAGGTTAAAGCAGCTTCAAAACTAAAAGTAAGGCCATTTCTTTTAAAAGTTCACATAAAAAGACTTAAATTCTTTGTAGCAACATACCTGCACAACCGTCCTCCATCAGAGGAAATATAAACACATCGGTCTGTAAGATTCGTGGAGATAGAAACAAATTCATTGATATATCCCGCTCTTCGCATCAGCCGAAATGTACTGACAAGCTTTTTATGGTCTCGAATGACACCTAAGATGTTGCCTAAACAGGGAAGACACAGAATCTGATCTAAATTATCCATTCAATAATAATATTAAGAAGCAGTGAACAGTCATTTGAAAATAGTTATTATTAACATCAGAATTCGTCCTGTATAGGCTCTGGGAAGCAGCACAAGGGTGTGCTCAAAGACAGTCTGGAGGCCTTGAAGCCTGTGCCCATCACACTGGACACTGACTAAAGAATTCTCAAGAGTTCACTTCACTGTCTTCAGCTGTCAGCACAGTCATGGGGCAAAAAGTTCACCCAGAACAGGCAGGTGTGAAGCCTGGCCTTTTAAACCCGCAGGTGTTGTGTAGAGGAAAAGTGCTGAGAACTGCCTTGTTCCTAGCTCTGAACCTACAGAACCTGCTGTGAAACCAAGATGCCAAGTTTCACCTCCCAGGATTAGTATGAGGATTCAGAGGCACAGGATGCTGTGCAGACTGACAGCCAGCTCACCATCAACTCCTGGGAAACACTGACAAGGCAGGCAGCCTTGCCAAGGTCCTGACCCTTTCTCCAGAGCCTGCATTATAAAGGGTTAGCGACTCCCTGAATGGGAGGAAAGGGGAAAAGAAGAGAAGACCTAAGTGGCCAGAGAGAAGCACACCGACAACATACAGCTACCAAGTCAAAGGAGAAAGGCTGGGCACACTGTGCCAGCCTCTGGGGCTCTGAAGGAAGAGATGAACATGAACCAAAGGAGCAGAACATCTTGTCCCAGCTGCTCAGCTGTAAGTGACTGAAGGGCTGTACACTATAAAGAGGGTTCATCTGATCATTTCTGCAGAACTGTGTGCATATTTAACAAGCTATTAAGATACCATACAAAACTTATCCTACTATGGATATTTTAGATGGGAAGCAGGAGATGGGCCTCAGTACTGTCCCTCTGTGTTCTCAGAATCTTGGGTACCACAGCCAAAAGATCAACTGTTTCTGTTCTCACTTTACTCCTTCAAATTAACACTACTGGAGGCAGCTTCTCAGGCAGGGATGGGAGCTCGCGCCCGCTCCCCTCTCAGCACTGGGATCCCAGCTGGCTTGGATCTGTGAATACTATCTCCAATTAACAACCAACTGCTCACACAGAAAAAGCAGTTTCTCCAGTGGAGTCTCACTGGGTATACAAATCACACTTAAAGGTGGGCCCCATGCCCAGCAAGTACATGGCCAAGACAAAAAGAATTCAACAGTATTTTGGAAGAGTGTGTTTTTTTGTGTGTTTTGTTGTGTGTGTGTGTGTGTGTGTGTGTGTACTGTTTCTTCAGCTTTCTGTTTTTGGTTTGGTTTTGTTTTATTCTAGTTTGTTTGTTTTCCTAAAAGACGAAAAAGAAGTTGTAGAGTTGGAAGGGCAAGGAGGTGGGGAGTGTGTGGGAGGAAATGAGGAAGGGGAAACCATAATCAGAATATACTGTATGGAAAATATTTATTTTCAATACAAATAAGAAACAAAGAAAAAAAATCTATCTGACCAGAATTAAAGAATATTTATGCTTTAAATACAAAAAACAATGGATTCCCTCTCTACTTCCAAAAGATAGCTTAGGACAATGGGTCTCAACCTTCCTAATGCTGTAGCCCTTTAATACAGTTCCTCATGTTGTGGTGACCCCCAACAATAAGATTATTTTCACTGCTACTTCATAACTAATTTTGCTATTGTTATGAATTATAATGAAAATATCTAATATGCAGGATATCTAATGGACCTCTCTGAAAGGGTCATTTGACCCCTAAAGAGGTTGCTACTCACATGATGAAAACCACTGGCTTAGGAAGAACATGTATCTATAGCATACTTACCATTTAGGAAGACGAGAAACACATTTGGGTAAGAGAGTTCTTCTCCACATAATAAATTCACATCTTCTACTCCCAAGTTGCCAGCTAATTTAATAATGGGTCCATCTTCCATGTCAGTTGTAATATGTGTCATAAGGGCCAAGTTTTTAACCAAGCCACAGGCCTAACAAAAAATAGACAGTCATTCCTAAGAATGAACGTTAGTCATGCAAAGAGCAGCTTGTATGTGAAAGTGCTCACCACTTTGTTGGTGGCAGCACAACCTTGAAAGGGACACTTGGGAATTCAAACACACAAACACACCCCTCAAACAAACAACCTCACCTTTAAAACATGTATACTCTTTAACCCGAGGAATTTATCCTCAAATAACAAGAAAAGACATTGTTCTAGCTAGTTTATTGTCAACGTGACACAAGCTAGTTATCAAGAAGATGGAACCACAATTGAGAAAAATGTGTCCCTATGACTGGCCTGCAGGCCAGTCTATAGTGGATTTTCTTCATTAGTGACTGATGTGGGGGGAGCCCAGTGCATTGTGGGTAATGCCATCTCTAGGCTGGTGGTCATGAGCGTGTAAGGAAGCAGCATTCCTCCATGGCTGCTTCAGTTCCTGCTTCCAGATTCCCGTCCTAACTTTCCTTAGTGATGCAGTGTGACCCAGAAGTAAAAGCCAAATAAATCCTTTCCTCCCCAAGTTGTTTATAGTCTGTGGCATTTATCACAGCAATAGAAACCCTAACTAAGATAGAAACTGGTACCAGGTCAATGGGTATTGCTATGACAGACCCAACAGTGTGGTTGTTGGAGGATTGTGGTGACATTTGAACTTTAGGGTAGAAATGCTATAGAGTGCTCAGAGCTCAGAGGGCCATTCTGTGGAGGCTTGGAAGGTAAGAACACTGAGATCAATGGAGACAATGGAGGCCTGGCTTGTGAGGTTTCAGAGAGAAGTTTGTGAGACCCTTAAAGACTCTATCAGGGCTACTCAATATTTTGAATTAAGAACCATTAAATGGATTCTTTGCTTTGCAGAGAAAAATTAATCCTGGTCAGCTGGAGCTGAAGAATCAACAGGGAGTAAGAAGAGGCCATCACCATCACTGAGGATGGCAAACCTGGGCATATTCCCTCACGGTCAGCACACAGAAGCTGTGGTTAAGAGGGAGTTAAGGCTGTACCTTATGCTGGCAGCCAAACTTGATAATGCAAAAGTTTCCCAGGTGGTACAGTTTTGAAGGTATTGAAGGGTCACAGAGAACAGTTAAGGCTAGGCCCTGTGAAAGGCCAGGAGAGGAGGTCACTGGTGGATCTGCAGCCTCAGCTGAAGTAGACACTCCAAGAATGAAGGGGTTATGGAGAGAAGATGAGGCCTGGTACCATGTGGTAGGGTCAGAGTCCCTGAAAAGCACCTAGGAGAGGCTGCTGGTGAGAATTCTGCCCCCTTACAGCAATAAAAACCCTAACTAAGATAGACTGAAAATAAACTTAGTTATGGACTTTGGCTGAAACAAATATCTCTGGGAAATTTAAGTACTTCAAAGTTCATTATGCATTCATTTGGAGACTATGTAAATTTAATGTGAATTTCCTTACAGTTTAAGATAAACTAGATTTTTTTCTAAAAACCGCAGCCTACTTGGACATCTAATTTTCACCTCTTCTGAGTCCTAACAAAATCCTACACTTTGAAGACTACACCTTTCACTTGTTATAAACAAATATCATTGTACATTTACCAGGCTTCTACTGTAGGAACCATTTCTCCATGACCTGGAGATGCCACAGTGGTGGCCCACCCTTCCTCCATGACCTGAAGATGTAGTAGTAACCCACCTTCTCCATTAGTTCATGACTCAAAAGGAATAGAATCAGGTGACACTAACAACAGTATCATGAGAAAGCCTGGGGCTGGAGAGATGCAGAGGACCTAGGTTTGGTTCTCAGCACTGGGCAGCTGACAAAAGCCTGCAACTTTAGTTCCAGGGGCTATAAAGTACTCTCTTCTGGCCTCTGTGGTACCTGCATGCAAGTGTTGCACACACATACACTCAAAAAAGAGCCAAGAAACAGGACAGAGTGAGGCTAAGTAATCAAATCTTGGCAAATGCTGTGATTTGGTATTTAGGTAATGGCTTGTGCTTCCCATACAAGTCAGAAGAATTACTGCAGGCCTTTGACTGTATGCTCCACATTGTCTACAACTGTCTATGGAGTCCTCTAGGCACAACTAAAGAAATCAAGATGCCACTCAAAGATCCTTCTGAGCATCAAAGGTGATGGCTCTCTCAGCTGTCCACCTCCTAATCACCTCTTCATTGCATGGCTTGATTGTTAAGGTAAAATGAGAAAGAGAAATGGTGACTATGAATGAGGTAAGATACTGAATCAAAGGCTTCTGGCTTTGACAGACTACATCACTATTTCTTGTCAAATAATCAGTTAATCACAGCAGAAAAAATAACCTAGTGCATGGGTTCTGAAGCAGAACCCCAGACTCCATCCCACAGGTATGACCTCTGACCCCACAGAGACTCCCACAGCACCTTACCTCTCCTTCAGGTGTGTCAGAGGGACACAGCATTCCCCACTGAGATGGCTGGAGAGAACGAGGGCCACTCACTTTCCTTGTTTTTTCAAACTGGGAAGAGATCCTTGTCATCATGCCAAGCGCAGAAATATACGACAAACGAGATAGCACCTGGGTCACACCCTGGCGGTCCATTTTAAATCTCTTTAGAGACCAGTTTCCCTGTAGAGAGATGAAATACATGAGACGATTCCTAACCGCTTCATAAACTGCCTGCTAACAATCACACAGCCATGATATAACTATGGAAACCAAGACAATACAACTAAAGTTAAAACTCGCCAGGTGATTTGATGGGGTTTTCTAGGCATAGGATGAGGCCACAATGTGGCTAGTAACCAGCTCCAAATATTCACCACAGGAGAGCCACTTTCTTTGGGATTCAGGATCCACTGCCCAAGGCAGTTTAAAGCAGAGGCTTCCACAGAAGCAGGAAATGAACTAGTGAAACACTGGTGAGGTTTCCACACTCTTCAGGCAAAACTAATCTAAAACTCAAAGGGAATCTCATGTTGGATTTAATGTTATTAATGCATTCCAAAAGGAGTGTTAAGACAAATCTAAGCACAGAAAAAATGACTCTAGCTGTAATTTCATGAGAGATAATCATCTATACCTTCTTAATCTAGGTCCAAGGAATATGAAATTGCATACTTTAATTTATCTCAGCCTTTTTCTTTTTTAATGTTGGGGAATCAAACCCATGGCTTGCAAATGCTAGGCAGGTGCTTTACCTTGAGCTACTACCTCTTCAGTCCTAAAACTACATGATTCACATTAAGAAATACTATGTTGTCAAATCAAGAAACACTTCTGAGATCACATTAATATTAAAACAGATTTGTGTCATTAGAGTACAGATGCTATAACGATGAACTCTATTGCTCTGTATGCTAACCTGAAATATTAATATAATAAAATAGACTTACGTGAGTAAATTGTGAATGCTAATTTTATCTCCTATATACTGAACATCAGATTACATTAAATATAATTTTTGTTTATATTAGTCATACACATTAAATATTATTCTCCAAAAACATGAATACATAGTAACATGAATTGTAGAAAATAGTGTGCATCAAGAAAGCAAAGTATCTGGACTGGAGAGATGGCTCAGAGGTTAGGAGCACTGCCTGCTCTTCCAGAGGTCCTGAGTTCAATTCCCAGCAACCACATGGTGGCTCACAGCCATCTGTAATGAGACCTGGTGCCCTCTTCTGGCCTGCATGGATACATGCAGGCAGAACATTGTATTCATAATAAATAAATCTTTAAAAAAAAAAAAAGCAAAGTAAAAAATTTCAAAAACCATTTGACTCAGCTATCTTTATGACAGCACAGAGGACAGCATCTGTATGTGCTGGGGTGCTTTACTTCCTCTTGATGAACCAGATGAAACTGACGAGGATTTTCTTGAGAAAATCTTCAAGGACAATGAGCATAAACTTTGAATTCAATGTCAGGAGGGCACTTGTGGATTCTAGCTTTAGAATCCTCAAAACAGGAAAATGCGGGGGTTTTAGGACAGTGTTCCCAGCCTTCCTAAAGCTGGGACCCTTCAACACAGTTCTTCATGCTGTGGTGTCCCCAATTATTTTCATTGCTACTTCAGTTACTTAAGGGTAACTTTCATACTGTTATGAATCATCAAGCAAATATTTTCTGAGATAGATGCTTGTCAAAGTGGTCATGACCCACAGGTTGAGAATCACTGTTTTTGGAGCTCAAATAACAGCTTATATTAAAATGTGATTTCAGGGGATCTCCCTCGAGTTCAAGTTTTAATTTGTTAAATTCAAAATCTATTTCTTACAAATCTTTAATTTTTTTTTGACAGTTTGAATAAATGCTAAATTCTAGGCATAAAGCTCTAACCCTTAGCCAAGAGCAAGCAAACAGGCATCCCACAGATTGCTGCCTACTCAACTTTTATTCTTGGGACAGGACTTATGTCCAGAGGGTGAAGAGTAAATAAGGTAAATATTCAGCAGAGAGCTAAAATGAGGCAGTCGGCTAGTAAATAGGAAGTAGGTGGGGAATGGAACTGGGAGAATTTGTTCTAGTGTTCTGTAGGAGCAAACAAGATGGAGCACAGGGACAGAGAGACAGAGCCTAAATCTCTCCACAGGGAAGCTAACATGGTAAACAAGTTCTTCTGGTGGGACCTAGGCACACCTGCCACAAGGCCTAGTGCTTTCTATCAGCAGGTGGTGGGGGAAGATAAAATGGTGTTATGCTAAAAGAACACGATCAGGAGTAAGGGAAGCACTTATTCAGACAGTGCTGACATTGTGGGTCTTCTGCCTTGAGAGCCTAGAGCAAAAAGGTTAATGTGCCCAAGGCCCAGAAGTCGGCTGCACCTCCATGTTACCTCTAGCTGATACTCTAAAGCTGTACACACAGACCCACTAAATCTCTGAAGCTGAGCAGTGAAGCAAGTCTACACTATTGTTCCATGGTTATGAGAGTCAACGTGTTGGGCCACATTGTTCTTTGTTGGGGCAAGATCCATCCATAAGACTAATTGTGTGTCTGGAATTTCATATGTGAGGCAGACTTATCAGACAGACCTATAGTTGCCATGCTTTTTAAAAGCGAGCAGATATCTATCTGATAACCTTTGTGAATAGCCCGGCCCTGAATACACAGCAGCTGCAGGGGATGGGTTCAGAGCCCAGAAAGAAATAGCTGATAGCTCTCTGAAGAATATAAACCCCACTGTGAAATAAAACACCTTTGTATGGCTTTGGACAAAAGCTGTCAACTAGAAAATCTACCTGATATATGTCAATTTCATTATAGGAAAAAAATGGAGGAAAGTACCCATGAGAAGAAGGACTATTAACAGTTAAACCAAGGGATTTCTCCTCTCCCTTTAAGTGTATTTTTCATAGTGCCATACATCAGGAACTCTAATACAGCAGTGAAGTTATACAGTAGTCCTTCCTAATCTATGGGGGATCTTTTTCAAGGTCCCATTAGATACCTGAAATGCAGGAAGTACAGAACCCTATAACTGCACGCTGGTTTTCTACACATCCATGATAAAGTTTAATTTGTCAATTAAGCACAGTAATTAACAACTAATAAAAAGTAGAAAAACTATAAGTAGATGGCAACAGGGGAGTAGCTATATTAACAAAATTCCTATTGTGAACACTAAAACTTTACAGTAACTCTCAAAGAGAATTAGTGATCTTCTCACGTTTCTTTGATGTAAATGTATTGTCTATGATCTCTATCTCTGTCTATTCTATCTAGTCTATTTGAATTCACAACTGCAGAAACGGCTGGAGACTCACAGTGGAAATGGCATTCACCATGCCATTGGTGATCTGGTCTTGGCGCATGTGTTTCACAACATCAAACTGGGCTGCTCTTTGTTTAGGAATCACTTGGTCTGCAATCTTCTTCATTTCCGAATTAAATTTTTTGAATAAATCTTCAAAAAGAAGAGCTAAGAGCTAGGAAAAAAAAAAAAGGACACAATGATTAAGCTTAAGTCTCAATTAAAACTCTGTTTTAAGAAAAAGAAGACTAATTTTAAAACTGAAAACAATATTATTTAATGGATATGTACAGAATTTTGGTGAATCTATGCCAAACTCTATGTAGGAATGTTGAATGACAGCAAAGGTGATATGGACCTGGCAGTCAGAGATATTTAATTTATAATACTCTCAGATTTTTAGGTTTCACTGACCAATTTTAATTTACAAAGAAAGGCACTGAAATCTGACAAGTTGAAGTTCCTGATTCAGTAGATCTAAGGGAAAATGCAGTAATCTGCATTTCTTTTTTGTTTGTTTTTGTTTTTTCAAGACAGGGTTTCTCTGTGTAGCTGATTGTCCTGGAACTAGCTCTGGAGACAAGGTTGGCCTCAAACTCACAAAAGATTAGCCTGCCTCTGCCTCCAAAGCACTGGGTTTAAAGGTGTCACCAAAAGTGAGAATTGCTGGTGGCAGGCACTTTGTAAATCGGTTTCCTACTGAAGTCTGCATTTAGCTATATGAGGACACCAGTATCAGCTACAAACTGTAACCTATATAAACAAAATTTAGACAAACTGAGGGACACTTGTATGAGAAAATTGGTTGCTACCAATGAAAATGAACAAAAACTAGGACAAAGTCATGGCAAAACCTGAAAAACACAACACCCAATGGAAGAAATCATACAAAGTCATGTCTGTGTTTCCTATTAAATGAGGTTCAAACTCAAGCACAACTAAACTACATTGTCTCAGAAGGCCTAGACAGGTGGGAAAACAAGAACAGGGGCACTGTGAGAGAAACGGCCCCAAACCCTAGACTTCTTTAAGGCCAACTGTAGTTTATCTTGGGAGTTAGAATTCTTCGGTATTCAGCACAGGAAAAGCCAACACTCACAAGTTTTGCTTTCTTCCCCCATGACTTGCTCATATAAGAGTAAGAGAGAAAGACATCTTTGTTAGAACAGAGGCAACTGAACTCTTTGTACTTCCCTGGAAGTAGAAATCAAATGTAGAGTAGCTGGGGAGGGGTCAGGAAACCTCCTGCTTAGCATGTCTAGGAGGCAAGAGGACCTGAGCTCATAGAAGGGGAGAGGCAGCAAGCTGCCTACACCATGTAGGAGTGGAGGAGGAAATGTTCCTTGACCCACCCAGAAAAGCAAACAGCAGACTACCACTAGAAGAGAACTGACACTCTGGTCACTAATGCCAAGAAAAGGCCAACACCAAAGGATGGGGTGGATTCGAAGCCCAGCTTCCATGGGGGAGGAGCAGGAAACCTGCTTGGGCCAAGGATCTCTGCCTCACTCCCAAAGCAGGCGCCCAGCCCATAGGAAAGGGACAGGAAAACAGACAGCTTTCCTTTAGGAAACTGGGGACAAGTTCCGATTTAGCACACCAGTGGAAATGGCATTCAGTTCCATGGGGCAAAGATGAATATCGATAATGAGAAGGAAGCCATAAAGCTGTCTTTACTTGATGATAACACATCTTGAGAAGGTTACAGGGACCCTAAAAGAAACTGCATCATGAAGAGATGCATTTTGCAAGACACAAGTCTAATAAACAAAAAGCAACTGTATTTAAAATAAGAAATGACTGAAACTCTCACTAGGAGAAATGCACCACAGTCATGGAATGGATGATTGAAGCTTTTTAGAAGTCAGTTCTCTCTAAATTGTCCTACAGATTCAAAATGCAATCTCAATCAAAAGCCACCAGGCACTTACGATCGTTCATTTGTTAACAACAAAACAGAGAAGCCAGTGTTAAATTTAAGTAAAAATTCCTGTTTGTCATCAAGTTCAGAAAGAAACTAACATATTTTACTGTCTCTACTCGAAACTGGGGAACAAAATTATTCTTCTGCAAACTCTATTTTAAATGAAAAAACGTATTTTATAAGTCATTCATGGTGGCACACAAACTTAATCCCAGCATTTGGGAGGAAGAACAGGGTGGACATCTGTGAGTTCCAGGACAACTGGAATGAGAATCTGTCTTTTTTTTTTTTAAAAGCATTTTAACTAGCATTTTTCTTGCCTTTCACACATCAATTATGTCTCAAGGGAACCAAAGAGATGATGATGGAAAGTATTAATTTTTAAATTCCAGAAAATAGAAGTGTTAGAATGAAAATATTAGATATTGTGACTTTCTAAACTATAAAGAAATAACGAAAAATGGAAATGATTGTCATCAACTACCAAGAAAGCCGCCAGCAGAACAGTGAACCAGGGATTCTAGTCCCCAGTCCACATCATCAGTCCTGACAGCACAGAGACAGACAACTGCAGGACATAGCTGTCCACTATGTAGTCCAGCCAGAAAACACAAAACGTACAAGAGCATCTAGTCTCTACAAACGCCATTCCCAATTGGACATGTTAATACATACAACACACATGAAAACACATCACATCATAAGGAGGCTAGGTGTTGTGGCACATTTCTGAAATCCTAACACTTGGGAGGGAGAAGGCAGAAGGACACAAATTTTGAGACTAATCTGGGATATATAGTGAGTTCAAAGCCAGTCTGAGCTACAGTGAGATCCCGTCTACCCCCAAAGCATCCCAAACCTCAAAGGCCTAAGTAGGTAGCTCAGTGGTTTAGTGCTTTAGTCCATTCCCACTACCATAAAAACATAATAGGTGTATTTAAGGACTAATTTTAGGTGTCAGGTCTGCCAGGGCATTTCTTCTGAGTATATCTATTTAGATGTTTCTGGAGGAGACTGGCATTTGAACCAATGAACTGAATAAAGAAGGTCTGCATCCATCCTCACTGGATGTGGGCAAGCATCATCTACCAGGGAGGCTCAGATGGACCAGAGGCAGAGGCAGGACACATTTCCTTGAGCCCCAGCTCCTGCACTGCATGCAGGGCTCGTCCTCCTGCTTTGACTTCAGGATTTGCAACAATGAACCCCAGGTTCCCAGGCCTTCAGATTTAGGCTGCAATATATAGCATTGGCTCCACTGTGTTCAGCCCTTTGGATATGAGACAAACACCACACTGACTCGCACACAGCACATCACAGGACTTCTTTGTCTTTATAACCACATCATCTACTGCTGTAATTAATTAATTCATTTATTCCTCTTTCCCCCTTACTGGTTCTATTTTTCTGCACAGCCATCAGCCAAACCTAGAATGTAGGAGATCATGCATGGGTCCTTGATGATAGTAAGAAATTACTGCTGCAAAAGTTTAAGTCTGAAAATGATTCAGAGACATATCTTATGTCTATATAATGTAATTTTCTATCTGAGATATTGAAATAATTTGATGGCTGTAAGCTGTCTGAACAATCCACTTTGAGAAGTGGAGGGGATAGGAGTGTGCTCAAGAGGACACAGACAGAACAAGATAAACTTCTAATAATCACAGAATAAATGACAGCTGATTTTACTACTTTTATATATTTGAAGATTTTCATATTGATATCCTCATTAAAATCACTCAAAGATACTTAGAAATAAATCTTTTTTAAAAATATCTTTTGGGATTGGGGATTTAGCTCAGTGTTAGAGCGTTTGCCTAAAGGCCCTGGGTTCAGTCCTCAGCTCCAAAAAGTAAAAAATATCTTTTTATTTGTGTGTGACTACAGGTGTGTGAGGTATAGCAGAGGCACTGGATCTTCTGAAGTTGGAGTTCCAGGTGGTCGTGAGACACTGCTGTAGGTGCTGGATACAAACTCTGGTCTCCAGAAGGGCAGCAAGTGCCCTTAATTGCCATCTCTCTAGGGTCAGAAATAGCTGTTTTGTTTTGTTTTTTTAAAGGAGGGCAAAAGACCTTCATTGGAGAAGATTAGGAATCTTTAATGGACAACATGAAAGGAAATCTAAACAAGATTTATGAATAAGAAGACTAGTATTTTAAGATACTAGTTTTCCCAAAATCTTATCTGTAATTCTAATGATAATCCCTAGAAGAATTTTATGAAAATCAGCAGACTAATTCTAAGATTCATAAGGAAAAATCTAAGACCCTAAAATAGTTCAGGCCTTGTGAAAAGGTAATAGATACAAAGGCAAGCTTACTGAAGCTAGAACACAGCCTTGAAACAGACCCACACACAACCGTTACATCATAGAGGTGCAGTTTTGACTGACAGGAAAACAAAGAATTATGTACCAAATGGCTCTGGGAAAACAGGTTACACAACTGAAAAACAATGAAAGTGGATTCTTCTTCCTCCTTCTCCTTTCATTTTGAAGCAGGGTGTCATACCAGGCTGGCTTCAAAACTTGCTATATGATGGTATGTATGAACTTTAACTTAAAAAATTACTTTACATTCATGTGTGCTTTATCTGTATGTGTGTCTGTGCACCACATGAGTGCTTGGTACCCATGGAAGCCAGAAGACAGTGTTGGATTCCCTGGGACTGGACTTACAGACAGTTGTGAGCCACCACATGGGTTCTGGGAATCAAACCTGGGCTCTCTGAAGGAACAGCTAATACTCTTAACCTCTGATCATCTCTCCAGCCCAGATCTTGACCTTCTGACTCTACCCCTCCACCCCCGACCCACCCTGTAATCCTGAGATTATAGGCAATGCACCATCATACTATTTTGTCCTGGGACTGAACCCAGGACTCTGAGCATGCTAGGCAGATACTCTACCAATTAAGATAAATCCCCAGCTCTGAAATAGGGTTCTTTATACCATTCAAAACTGTCTGAAGAAAAAATACCAATGATATTTAAGTTTCAAAAACAAAAAGCACAAAATACTGAAAAATAGAGTTAATTAAGCCGATCACAAATTCATACATGCTAAAAGGTATCATGAAGTTAAAAAAAAATTTAGGCTAGAAGAGGATAGCTATAGCATATGTAATTGGTTAAAAACAGGACCTAAACACACAAAATATCTCCTTGAAATTAATAAAGATGAAAACAAGATATTTCAAAGCAGAGGAAATAATTCTGATTAACAGATAAAGAGCTTAATCTCATTTGT